CAATGTTTCTGTAAATCTAAAATTAGTACAAGTTTATTTTTTAAAAAACGGCATCCTACCTGAATTGAAAGCCAAAATGGAAAAACAACACACACACACACACACACACACACACACACACACACACACAACTAAATTAAAATAAAAACAAAATTGAAAATACCAGACTTCTGGTCAAGATGGTGGAATAGACAGTCCCCAGAGTCACTCTCTCCCACAAATCAACCAATTTACAACCATAAAAAAGCAACGACAAGGGCCAGCCCGTGGCTCACTCGGGAGAGTGCGGTGCTGATAACACCAAGGCCCCGGGTTCGGATCCCATATAGGGATGGCCGGTTTGCTCACTGGCTGAGCCTGGTGCTGACAACACCAAGTCAAGGGTTGAGATCCCCTTACCGGTCATCTTTAAAAAAAAAAAAAAACTCACAAAACTGCGTTGAGTGAAAGAAGTCATACTTTCTTTCTCTTTCTTCTCTCATATATGGCTGATAGGGGTGTCAATTAATACATCAAGTCAATCAGCAAATGCCGTTGGTGTGACCTTCAAAATGCTCCCAGAATCCAAGTACTTGCCGGCCCCAAGGCCACTACTCTGATCCCCCATCGTCTCCCACTGGACTAATCAGTCTCCACACAGGAAGCACGCTGCCCGGTCCGGGGCATTGTGCCAGGCACAGCTATCCTATTCAATCCTCCCAAAAAGCAAATAAGGGAGGTGCAATTATTAACCTTGGCACAGAGAGGGTGTCATTGTTCCCAGATTTACACAGCTAGAAAACGGAGGAGCTGGGATTTAAACCCAGGTAGTCCAGCCTCAAAGTCCAAGTTCTCAACCACTACACCTTCCCACCTGGGGAAGACTTAGGAAGGAGTGTGCATTTAGTTTAGCTCTTAACTTTGCTAAATTTAGCTGCTTGGAGAAAACATCTCCTGGTCCCCGGCACTGGTGTGTATTCCAGTCTGCAGACAGGCAGGAAGCTGGCACCCGCCTGGGCGGAGCCAGCAGCCGCTCTAGGAGCACGTCGGCGCGGGGCTCCCTGAGGCCCGAGCCTAGCGACCGGTGGCGTCACGAACCTTCGTTCATCCGATTGGCTCGTCTCCAGCCATTGTGCTCGCGTTCCTTGTCGACTCCGGCAAAAAGACTGAACGGAGGCTACTGGAGAAAAAGAGAGGGGTGGAGGGGCCCGGGGACCCAGGGCAGGGGACGTGTGATCTTAGCGTTCTTACCTGTAAATGGGGATGAAAGGAATACTGCAGGACGGTGCCTAGGACCTGGCACAGAGGAAGCCTCGGGAAACGGCAGCTGTGATTTGACAATCACGGGCAGCCTTTAGCACTCTGCACGTTTTATAAGCCGGTATTTCCCTCCCTCCGTCCCTCACTATTTTAACCCCCTTTTTTTTTTTTTTTTTTCCTTTAGAGGGAGTTTCTAATGGAGCTTTCTAGCCGACAGCACCACAGATTTGATTACTGTATCTTTGTAGTAAGTTCTAAAATTGGGAAGCGTAAGTCCTTCAACTTTGTTCTTTTTTCCAAGATTCTTTGGCTAATTGGTTCTTTGTTTCTGTGTTTTTGGGCGGCGGCTGGCCAGTACGGGGATCCGAAACCCTGACCTTGGTGTGAGCAGCGACACGCTATAACCGAGTGAGATAATCCGGCAGCCCTGTCTGGCTATTTGGGATCCCTTGTAATTGCATATGAACTTTTTTTCTTTCTTTTTTTTTAAGATGACCGGTAAAGGGATCTCAACCCTTGACTTGGTGTTGTCAGCACCACGCTCAGCCAGTGAGTGAACCGGCCATCCCTATACGGGATCCGAACCCGTGGCCTTGGTGTTATCAGCACCGCACTCTCCCGAGTGAGCACAGGCGGGCCCGTGAGTTATTTTCTTAATTTCCTTTTCTGATGGTTCATTGCTAGTGTAAAGGAAGACAACTGATTTTTGCATGTTGATCTTGTACCGTGCAACCTGGCTGAATTTTATTAGTTCTAACAGTTTTTTTGAGGATTCTTTCAGATTTTCTATATAAGAGAGCATATTCTCTACAAATATAGTTTTACTTCTGCCTTCACAGTTTGGATGCCCTTTATTTGTTTTTCTTTCCTAATTGCTCTGGAGAGAAATTCCAGAACAGCATTAAATAGAAGAGGCAAATACAGGCAGCCTTTTCTTGCTCCTGATGTTAGAGGGAAAACTTTCAGTCTTTCGCCGTTGAGTATGATGTTTGCTGTGGGTTTTTAATAAATGTCCAAGCCAGTATTTCCTAAACATTACCTAAAAGGAGTCTTCCCAAATACGTCTCCGTCGAGATGTTTGTAAATTTTATAATGGCGTGAAGACGTTTCCAGCCACTCACACACTGAAAGCTGCTGAAACTGTACTTGAACCCTCACCGTGTAAACGGCCTCTCGAACTCTCTTACCTCTTTGAGGCTTTATGCCCAACCCCGGCCGCAGATGGCGCTGTAGGCACCGCGCAGCCGCGTCTGGAACCAGAGCTCGCGGTGCTCGGCTCATTGCTTCAGTCGAGATCTACTTACCTGGGCTTTGGTTCTATTTGTTTATTTTGGGCGGCTTTCCGGTACCGGCATGACAATCTTCCTTGGCCTTGGTGTTATCCGCGCTCTAACCAACTGAGCTAACCGGCCAGCCCATAGCTCATTAAATTTCTTACTTTTTTTTTTTTTAAAGATGACCGGTAAGGGGATCTTAACCCTTGACTTGGTGTTGTCAGCACCACGCTCTCCCAGTGAGCAACCGGCCATCCCTATATAGGATCCGAACCCGCGGCCTTGGTGTTATCAGCACCGCACTCTACCGAGTGAGCCACGGGCCGGCCCTTTTTTTTTTTCCTTTTTGTCTTTTTTCGTGACCGGTAACGGTATCGCAACCCTCGGTGTCGAGCCCGAACCGCGCCCAACCAGTGAGCGGACCGGTCTCTATATGGGATCCGAACCCTCCGCGGAAGGGCCGCCGCGCTCCCAAGCACCGCACTCTACCGAGTGCGCCACCGGTCCGGCCCTGATTAAATTTCAACTGGCATTTAGTGTTCACAATTAGAATCTGATTGTTTTTTGTTTTTTGGGTTTTTTTTATTGCTTTTTTGTGTTTGGGTATTTTGTTTTGTTTTGTTTTTGGTTTGTGTGTGTGTGTGTGTGTGTGTGTGTGTGTGTGTGTGTGAGAGAGAGAGAGAGAGAGAGAGAGAGAGAGAGAGAGAGTTTGTTTTGGTGGCAAAAGCCGGAATTGATTTTTTTTTTTGAATTTTTATTTTTATTTATTTATTTATTTATTTTTGTGACTGGCTGGTAGGGGGATTCTGATGATTTTTTTGATTCATTATAAATTATTGTTTCTTATTGGGAGCCAATAAAAAATGTTCATATCTAAAAGCATAATTGTTGAACATAATTAGTGAAATTGAGGTATTTACATCTTCAGAAAGTCATATTTGCAAAATAGTTTTATTATATTTTTGTGAATTTTTCAGAATTTTGATTACTAAATTGAATGAAAACTCACACACAATCCTTAAGCATGAAGATAACTTAAAATATTTTGGAAAAAAAATCAGTTTTGTGGGCCTGCCTGTGGCTCACTCAGGTGTGGGTGGTGGCACTCTTTGTAGACACAAAATGGCTACAGCATCTCTGAGCATCATTCTTCTGAGTAATCAACAGCCAGATGGAGGGGAGAGGAGGTAGCCCTTCTGGATTCTTTTCTCAAGGCAAGAAAGCTTCCCAGAGGCCTCCAGGCAAATTTTCCCTTGGGTCTTGTTGGCCCGGAACCTTCCCTTGAGCAATCATGGACAAAAGGGGATGAGAGGGTGTGGTAATGGGTCAGCTGCTGGCCTAATAAATTAGACTTCTAGTCCCAAGGCTGGTGGCTGCTGGACAGTTCACAGACCATGTCTGCCAAATAGTCCCACAGGGTGTCCCTCCAGCAAACTGGATCAAAGAGATAAAGTGACACATCCAAGATAACACAGCAAGCAGATGACAGAGGCAGACTTGTGAATCCAATGCCTGGCTCTTTCTACACATCCACATAGCAACTATGAAAATGTGTGTGTGTGAGGGGATAAGATTAGGACACACAGAGTCACACAGAGGCATACGGACACTATGCTTTATACATTTCTTGAAGTTCAACTCCTCCAGCAGTAGAAAGTATCAGTATCGTGTCTTACTCTAGACCCACCGGGGCACACCATCTGCAGTACTGGCTGAGGGTACTGGGACACCATGGGAGGGCTATGACCATGAGAGGGGCAGAGCCAGCTCTGGGTGTAGAAAGACCCCTTTGGGGCCAGGCGGGGGACTGACTTGAGGCTAGGAGGCCAGAGAGGAGGCTGGGACAGGGGTGCGGGCAAAAGACAAGACTTGAGCTGAAGCCAGGGCGGGGGGGGGGGGGGAAA